TAAATGGAAACTAAGACTAATACAGATCTAAACTAAAAATAAAAGGAGATGGCCAGTCTCATTTGAGTAGCCAGTTCAAGAAGAGTTGTCCTCTGTCTGTTGCAGCATGATCAGCAAGATCAACCCCAGGGAGACAGATCTGTTCTATGTCCAACATGATTCTACAAAGAATTGGCCAAGTAAAGATCCAGAAGGCATTGTTCTTGTTGTTTTTAGATTTCTTCAGAGGCAGCATATTGAGTACATAATCAATTGGATTTGGTTGTACTATAGAATAGAGATGGAGACGAATTGCAGCTCCAGTGCACTCAATGACATGATGACGGCTGGTGGTATGCAATCCACAGGAACAAGGTTGAGGACGTCCAGGAAGCCACCCCATACGCTAACGTATGAATCTACTACGTTCATAGTTAGTCATGGGAAGCCAGAGAATAGGGTCAACACCAAGAGAAGGACGGCAAGCAGAGAGAAGTATTTGTTGAGAGCGTTGCAAGGAGAGGCCCTGGTTCAAAAATGAACGAATGGCATGCTTGCAAGCTTTAGAATCAGCATTCTGACGATTGGAGAGAGACAACCAAATGGGATTAGCTAAAAGCTTAAACCATTGGTGTGCTGGGTTTGTAAGAACAGGTCGAAGAAGAGTAAACAGAGCCTCATCAGGCAACCAGAAAGCACGATATACAAACTTGAAACCAAGAGTCAAGATCCTCTCCCTCATGCTAGGAAGATTCCCAAGGTGACGGAAAACAGATGTAGAAGATGTGGAGTGACCTCCAAAAATCATGCGTAAGCATGTGTTCTGGGCCTTTTCAAGCACAGCAACTTGTTTGATGTTGAAGCAGGATATTGCCAGGCCATACTCAAATTGTGGACGAATAAACTGGCGATACAAACGAATTGAGAGTAGACGTGACAACCCAGTGTGATTGACACCAAGTGATTGAAGAGCACGCATGCTGTTGATAGCAGAGACACAATTACGAGAGATGAGAAGAGATGGATCAATAGTCCCCTTTGCTGAGAAGGGAACACCAAGGTAAGGAAACGAATGAGCATGAGGAATAGGCACATTGTAGAGAGAGAATGACAAAGGAGAAAGAGAACAAGAATGGTGAAGGATCATGCACTTGGTGGGACTCCAACGATATCCTAGCTCTTGAGAATGTTGTTCAGCAGAATTCAGAATGACAGGCATAGCTTCTGGTGTAGCAATGATGGCAACATCGTCAGCAAAAAGTAGTGAATTGACTAATTGATCATTGAGTCTTGTGGCAGCAGTCTGATTAAATACTGTGTTACAAAGTTCCCCTGCAGCACGAAGAGCAACTGGTAGAGAATTTATGTACACGGAATAAAGGTGGGGAGAAAGCACAGATCCTTGCATAACGCCAGTCAATGGTTGGAATGATCTGGATGTTGCACCAGAAAGCAACACCTCAACTTGAACGTTGTCAAAAAGACTTTGTAACAAAGCTAACATAGCATCAGAGGCAAGAGGACGTAACGATGTCCATACTACAGAACGATCAACAGTGTCATATGCAGACTTGATATCAAGAAAAGCCAAGACTGGTGGTGCTTTGAATAGAGCTGTGTGACGACGGACCATCTCATGGAGACAAAGAACTTGATCAAGGGAGCTACGTTGACGTTGGAATCCACCCTGTGCAATGTCAATTGTTGGAGACACATCTTCAAGAGGAAACTGTAGACAATATTCCATGGCTTTTCTCAGGATAGACGTTAAGCTAATGGGACGATAGTTAGCAGGGTCATGAGTATCACCCTTTTTAAAGATGGGGACAACTTGTGCAGTACGCCATGCAAGAGGTGCAGAACCCCATTGCCAACAAAGCTGGAACAAAAGACAAAGAACAGGAGAGACTTGCTTAACAATTGGGTGAAGCATTTCAGCACGAAGATGGTCAACACCAGGAGCCTTGCGTGTAGGAAGCTTGAGAATT